AAACCAAAAATGATTCAGAGACCAGATATAATTTTTGATATTTTTTTACTAGTGGGTGCAGGACACTATGGTTCATTTATGTAAGTGAGGATAGCAAAATAAAGTAAACTGTGACAAATCATACCCAAAAATTCTTCATACAGTGGACTACCAGTAAAATTTATACAAATTTGTGACCAGAAATTATTCAGACCGAGTCTGGGAGTTTGGTTGAGGTTTTCATGAAGCTGGATGACAGCATGCCCAGGAGACTACAGGCTGTCCCTGAGGCTAAGGGTTGCCCGACAAAGTATTCATAGTTGTGTAAATACTGTCATACTAACAGCTGTCTGAATAAATTTTGGTTTGACTGTATCTATTTGATAAATGAAGTTAACCAACTAACATTATACATACCCTTTTGGTTTCTGTACCCAATATTTAAAAAATGTACAAATGCAATAAAAATATCGGTATCGGTACTCGGTATCGGCAAGTACCAAAAATAAAAGTATCGGTATCGGGCAAGTACTGGAAAAAGTGGTATCGGTGCATCCCTAAACTGTAGTCTTGACCTCGGTTTTGGTTTGTTCGTTTTTTCAGTCTTGGTTTTACATGGAACATGGTTTTAGTCTCGTTCTTAGCCTTATGTTGTGTAAGTTTGTATTAACATTTAAAATGGTTTTCTGAAAGCTAAGAAGATAATTTTCTGCTTGAAACCAATTCATAATGTCTGTCTGAGGGCATTTCAGAGCTCAAAATCCACAGCTCAGACTATTGCCGAGAGTTTTAGGAGAGATGTGTGTGTGTGCACGTGTGTGTCAGTCACAACTGAAGTGAGGCTGGGAGAGAACTTTCTAGCAGTGACACTTTGAAAAAGCTGAATTGGTGCATCAATCGCAGAACATTTGGGACTCTAAAGTGCACTTAAAACCCCCTAGCAGAACAAAAAAAACAGAGACAGGTGGGTCTCAGGAGAAGGGGTAGAAAGAAAGCATGAAGCCAGAGACTAGGGAAATGTGAGTTCTACAACATAAGCGAAGTGAATGAGACAGGTGGAGAAAACAGGGGAGGGACTGAAAGATGGATTAGAGGGAGAAAAAGATGCACACACATGGACAGCTGAGGGCCTGTGTGCTGTAGGTATGGAGAAGATAGATATGCGGTGCTCTGTAAATCTCCTCACTCTGTGTTTAATAAATCTGGCCCCTGTTTAACAGGCCATGAATATTAGAAAATAATCTAATCTTTTATGGGGAAGGAAGAGAGAAGCAGATATTGGCAAGAGAGCGAGCAAGATCAGAGGGTTCATTGCAACTATAATTACAGGAGAGCATATTTGCTGTTGTAGGCACTCCTGCTAAGCTGGATATGATCAGGATTTAGTCTTGTCAGTGTAACAGCTAATTATTCCCTTTGAAGTGGACTGCATATATCTCCTTTTTGTCTTAACCCTCTTAGCAGCAAATGGATACAAACATTTATGCACACACATCTTTTCACCCGGACTCATTTCATTGAGGCTCTTTTTCTGCTTGCTGTGCCTTTCACTGTGCCTCTCGGCCTCATCCACGTTTGATTTAGTTTTGTACTCTAGCCTTCTCTTAAAAGACTTCATCTTTGAAATGATTGCTCTCCCTGACTGCTTGATTAACACATCACTGCTCCACGAACACTTCACACTCTCTCTTTTGGTCCGATTCACTTATCTCTTTGTCTTTATTGAACTAATTGTGAATTCAGTCAGAGCTGAGTGCAAATAAAATGTACAGCACCTTTCAAAAGTTTTGGGTCGGTAGTAAGTCTCTTATGATCACCAAGTCTGCATTTATTTGGTCAAAAATACAGTAAAAACAGTAATATTGTGAAATATTATTACATTTGAAAATAACTGTTTTCTTTTTTAATATATTTTAAAATGTAATTTACTTCAGTGTCACATGATCCTTCATTCTAATATGTCTAATATTTTTGGTGCTCAAGAAATATTGCTTATTATTATCAATGTTGCCATTTAATATTTTTGTAGAAACGGTAATACATTTTTTCAGGGTTCTTTGATGAATAGAAAGTTAAATAGAACAGCATTTAGTTGAGATAGTAACCTTTTGTAACATTACAAATGTCTTTACTGTCACATTTGACTGTCACATTGATCATCCTTGCTAAATAAAAGTATTAATTTCTTAAAAAAAAAAAAAAAAAGACTGACCCCTAACTTTTGAATGGTAGCGTACATGCAATTATCTTCTCTTTTTCCAGAAAACTATATGCAGATTTGTTTTTATACTGTTAAAACTATTATGCGTCCATAGAATGAAATAATCTTGCAGACAGCAGAATAAAATAGTTTTTTAGTAAATGCAAAAAAATCCTTATGTTGCACATATTTCATTAATGTATCTTTTTTTTCTCTATCTCAAGTTGTTTGTGCACCCCTCTAGCACCCATTTTCATTTCACATATGACTTCCTTGAACAGCTTTATGTCTATTCTCAATTACATACGCTTTTGACACATGAATTGTAAGAGGACTGAGAAAGTCTGTGGAAAATGGCCAAAAGGGAAATGTATTCCTTATGACTGTGCAAAAGCAGTAGCTATTTTAACCTTCATCATAGTTGTGTTCTCCAGGGAGTTTTTGAGAAGGCTCTGTGAAAAGAACATGGGCCAGCAGGTTTGGAAAAGAGTGAGTGAAATGAAAGAGAGTGAGAAGGTTAAGGGGTGGAGAGATACGGGCGAGAGAGAGAGATGGAAAGTCTTTTTCTGCTCTATCAGGGTGGAATGATTGGCACGTCATGTGGAAAGGCACAGGCGCTCTGGGCTCTCTCTTCACCCCCATCGCTCTGTCCTCTTCACTCCTTGTATCCGTGCTGTCCATCCATCTCCCTCACAAATGATTAGAGTTTGAGCAGATCTCAATGGAACACTTTCAGAGTCCTGTCACACAGGAACCGAAAGAGTGTGTGTGAGTGACTGATGGTAATAGAGATGCGTATGTGCACATGTTCAATAAACCCAACAAGATCTTGGGATCAAATGGTCCGTTTCTTTTAGCATAATGCATTGTGAGTGTTATAAATGTACGTGGATTCGCCCTCATGTGGTGAAATCAACACGTAGAGTTGTGTACCAGGCTAGCATCATGCATGAATGATCCTAACCTGAATAATGTTGTCCTGTGTTTGTCTTCATCCTTCCTCCCATCCTCCCCTTCCTCTTGCATTGTTCTCTTCGTCACCACTACCTGCCTGCGTGTCATAATTGCCATCCTTCGTCGGCCCTCATGGCAACCATTCACATCCAACCCCTCGACCCAGTGAACAGAAGCGAGTGACCCAAAACAACCTGACTTGACCGAGGCTTATCCACCTCCTCCTCCGCTGTCTTCACCACCACTTCTTCATCAGCATCTCCTGACTGAAGCCCACAATCCTTTACCCAGTTCCTCCTAGTCAGTCCTGTATACTTTTAAGGAAATGGCCTAAAACATCATGCAGTTTTCGATATTCACCAGAGCCTCATTCATTCCTTAGAGAAAGTGTCTTGTGAGAGAGATTAATGACACATTGCAGCCAAACCAAACCTGAAAAGCCTCCCAAAATGTCTTTATTCTTAGTTTTTACTGTGTTTCTTCTCTACCCACTCTTCTGTCCTTTATCCCCCCACTTTTGCCCTCAACTCCCGCCCCTCAGGCTCTAAGTCTGAACATCAGCAGAGCCAGAGCAACCGAGTCGCTCCTCGCAAGCACCAGAGCCGCTAGCTTCTCTGGCCACCTGCCCTCCAGATTGCGAAAGTACTCCCAGGAGGGGGCGCTGTCCTCCTTGACTGCCTCCTCCAACCAGGCCAAAGCGCTTCTTGCTAGCCTCTCTGCATCCAGTCTCTCGGCAGAGGCCCTCCTGCTCTCGTCCACCTTAAGACAGCATCGGTTACTCAGAGAGCCGAACTTCAACTCCTCAAGCCTTCCTCTTCCCATCTCCAACGGCCGCTCCCCTCCCTCTCCGACTTCACCTACTTTCTCTTCCATAACCTCAACCTCATCACCTTCTGCTCTCACCTCACTGAGTCTGTCCTCGCTGGTCCTGAAACCCTCCGTCGCCGGAAGCTTGGAGTTTGTCAAGGAGCGGAACAAGACTGAACCCAAGACGGTGACTCTGGATGACAGTGATTAAGGAGGATGTGGCTGGAAATGTTCCATGTATAGGATGCGGACAGCACAAGTAGATGAATTGAAATACGACTAACCTAAAAGTTTTTTTGGAGGCTTAGTTTCTATAGTGTTTTGTTTCCAATCCTTTCCCTGGCTATCCTTACCAAGACGCCTTGCGGAGAATGGTGACGTAGTGCACGGAGGCATAGTGCAGCATTTTGCGTCATAGGTTCACTTATCTTCAGTTTGTGAACAGATCCAAACTGTAAACCCTACCTACTCTGCATTTCTGCCAGTTCCTCAAACTAGAGAACCAACAGATGGGCTTGGACACTCACCACCAGCCTGTTTCCAGCTCCACTGCACAGCCAGCATCACACCACCCACGGGAGGCCTGGGGAAGGACTCTTTACCCAAACCCTCATTCATTTGCCAAATCTCACATGTTGGAGGTCTAGCTGAGTTCGGTAGATGTGTCCATCAAGTGTAAAATCAAGACTGTAAGACTATGTAAAACCAAGTAGAGTTGCAATAATCGAAAGTGAGTACTGTAGTAGTCGGTGTTTGTTGAGACGTTTTATTGCTCATATCTATATTAACAAAAAGAATGTTAAAAAATAACAGCAAAACCTTAATGTGGAGGCAGTGTCGCTCGTTCTAATGTAGATTTTGGCTATCAGGCGTACTGCTAAAGGAAAATAACTGAAATTGGTGCTATGATTAACATTTTGATGATTATAAACTCCCTTAAAGGGATAGTTCATCCAAAAATGAACATTCTGTCATGACTTACTCATTCTTATATTGTTGCGAACTGAATGACATACTTTTTGAAAAATGTCTTGGTTTATTGTCTATACAATGGAAGTCAGTCGGGTCTAACAATGTTTTGGACCCCGCTGACTTAAATTGTGTGAACAAAAACATTCTTCAAAGTATCTTCTTTTGTATTCTACAGAAGAAAGCAATTCATGCAGAATTTTCATTTTCAGAAGAACTTTCCCTTACACATACACTGCCTAAGAGTCTATTTTTGTTCTCATTTGCACTCAAATAGGTCTTCATACAGCCATTTTACATGTTTGCTGTAACTTAGCACAAGTTGTCATGGCAACAGGGGAATTGTGAGAAAGTGGAGGGCTGCCTACTTTTTAGATCACTTATTATGGCATGGGGTTGTTAGGCTGTTGTTTTCTTAACAGTCACAGTTTTCCTACGTAAGGATATATTTAGGATACTTCCCTCTTCTTGTCATTAAAGAAGCACAACAAGTTTTAGAAGCTAGAGAAAGTACAATGATCTGACAATCATCAAACATTCGGCACAAGCTGTCTTAACCTTTGGGCCTCCCAGATTGTGAAGCTGAATTCCAATTTAAAATGAACAAACAGATGGTTAGGTTCACCGTGTAGGGGTTGCACAAGCAAGAAGACTGAGGGTAATTCCACAGCATGTATGCCAGTGGACGTGATCCATCGAGTAGAAGACATCTGTGTGGTAGAGCATTCCAACTCATCCTTTCTCCTAATGAGCCAGTCAAACCCTCCGCTTACTTTTCTGTCAAACCACAGACACTTAGATTTAATATCATTTTTATAAGGTAATTGTGTGCCGGTTTATGATTACCTAGAATGGTGATATAAATATGAATATCACATCCTTTCTCTGGTTTCATTGCTCTCCACAGACATAATACTGAAATGCAAGAGCATAATTTTATTTATTTATTTTTTGGTCATTGAGGCTCTGGTTATGCCCACCCATCTGCTTTTCTCATTCCAGTCCTTATAACGCACAAGCACACACAAAGATTTTTTTTTTTCCTTCTCACTAGGGTATTCCTATGTTGTGAATTTGTCAATGCCACAACCTGCAGGTTTTCTCATGAGCCCAGAGAATTTAAATGTGAAAAGGTGAGTGAGAGTGGAATAGAATCAGATGAATAGAGCAAGAGGGGAGATTTTTCCAGCTTTCTGGTGAAACGAATGTGTGAAATTGATTGCTTGTGGTACGGGGTTTAAAATAATGGCTTAAGCTCTAGGTCGACGTCAAGAGTAAATGGCCAGAGGAGAGATTAGTGGTGTTAGTCCGTGTCTCGCAGCCAAATCGGCTTGTAATTCATGTCCAAAATGTATAATGACACACGTGGGAGGTGCTGCGAGAGGCAAAAAGGTCAAGCTTAGGCTGTTACATGCATGGAAACTCCTTAATTTAAGCTATGGCTTGACTATGGTGTTGTTTAAATTTAACATCTGTGATTGAACACAAAGCTTTATTTTTAATTCATGCCTGGATCTGCTAGTTATACAAAAAGTTCAGCAACTCAATGGTGGTTTGCAAATTCCTTCAAATTACATTTGTTAAAATTATTAAAACTTGTCTTGATTTGTACTCTAGATCTTTCACACTCAGCAAGCATCTTATTCATAGCTCGGACTAGCCGAATACCTCAAGCGTGTGACGGAAATATTACGCCCCTTAACATACTGTGATGCTGTGTGTGCGACGGGTGATGCGCGTGCGCCTGTGATGTGCGACGAGACAAAACCAGAGTCTTTGCAACTTTACAGATCTTCATTATGCACCAAGAGCTTGTAACACTCCAAAGAGAAAGGAAAAATTTAAATCGCATCATATGACCCCTTTAAGGACCCAGACCAAACTATTATTATAAACTAGCAAATTTAGCAATTCATCCTGCGGTGAGCACACTCAAACGAACAAAACGTTACCCTTGTGGCTTGAAGTGGGTTTCGTGCTTGGATGGATTGTGCTTGGATTGCAGCCACGGGTAGAAATGTGTGAGCTAAGAAAAGACTTTCTTGACCCCCCTCGGAGAGTGCGATGGATAAATGTAGGAAGGTGGTGAAATCTCCCTTTTTAAAGTAGTATCTTTCTCTCTCAAAACATGGTAAGATATCAGCTCAGACATGATATATAAATACTAAATCTTCAGAGTTAGTCATTTATTTTTCACTCAACATGGTTGGTAAAAAAAATGTATGATGCTAGATTTGCGTTTGTATATTTTTTGTTTATTGATTTTATATTAACTGAGATTTATTTGTACATATTTTTGTTTTTGTAATCCTGAAGAAATATATAGCACACTAGAAAATTATTTATTCATAAGAAAAGTGTTTTGTATATTGAGTTGAAAATATTACTCTGTACAGCCCAGTTCATGTATAAAGTATATCTGCATCTAACCACAGGTTGATATTTTGTTAATTTTATGAGTTTATGAGTTGGGTGAATCTGAAAAAGCCTTTATCCAGCCAGCCAGTCAAAAGAATTTAATTGTGATCCGAGTGAAATCAGGTTCATTGCCGATACTTATGAAGCTCTAATCTGTATTGTGACCTGAGAATGTCATTTGCTAACTCTTAATTTGTTTGCTTTGGTTGAAATTAACCATGTGGATATAATGGCAAATGTAAATGAACTGTCACAGCCCTTGTCTGCCATCTAGTGGTAGGGAGTAAGTCTGCAATTTCATTGCTTATACTGTAGTTACTCAGTGAGACACTACTGAATAACAGATGTTTAAACTTTCAATGTACAAATGCCTTGGTCAAGGAAACAGTTGCGCAAGTGTTTCTGCCACATTCTGCTAATTTTGAGTTGCAAGTTAGAGTTTCCCCCCAGAAAGACTGCAGGAAATAGGAGGAGCTGGGTGCTTCTGCTAGTTATGTCTGATTTACCAGGCCAAAAATAAGAGTAATTTGGAGAAAGCACATTCTTTGTTGAATGGTCTATGATGGAACGTAGAATATTTTACCAGAGCTCTTTAGTCCCTTAAGTGAGATTTTTTTTTCTACATGGATGTGTGGATGTTACAAAATTCTGACATCAAACAATAACATTAAAATACTAGAAAACAGTAAAAGAAAAAAGAATGAAAATACTATAACATGTAAATAAAACCGTAATTATTAGAGAGTCCTACAAAATTATGTCCTGAAAAAAAGTTTTATTTAAAAGATGGAGTTATAAGGTATATGTTTTAAAAATATTAAAAACAATAATTATAGCAATGCATGCACATTCTAAAAGCAATCGCACGGTGCAGATGATTTTTAAAAAACAAAGTTATATACATGTTTTTTTTTAAGTCAACGGAGACAATAGTGAGGTCAAGTGCACTGAAATGAGGTTCACAGCTGTAGAGTCAAAGTAGGAAAAAATGACTTTTTCTATGTCAGATTTCTTTGTGGCTCAGGCATGTCCAGTCTTACTGTAATCTGTGGTGATGTGGTAACCAGACTTGAGTGGCAAGCTCTGAATGTGTTTTACTGAGTGACTGATTAAATTCAGCTCTGACCATCAGTGCACTAGTAATGGTGCGAGCCCTTTACCCACGCTGTGACCTTCCCATCTCTAGAGTAGAGTAATATACCAACAGAGAATCACTCTATATACAAATAAGATATATAAAAAGAAATTAATTTGTCAGTGTGGATGCCATGATAACTTTGTGAGAAATGTGACTTATTTTGTATTTTTTCCTGTGAGAAAACATTGAGAGCTGAGACCTTTTGTACATAATTGCTGTGGTTGTGTGTCTAATAAAGTACAGCTCTCTTCTATGACAATATTTCTACTGTCTTTTTTTTTTTGGTTTCTCAAAATAAATAAAACATGTTTGTTACTGTACAATGTTTTCACCATTTTATTAAAATATCTAAGAAATCGTACAAATTATTTGTATTTCAATATAAACACAGCAAAACCATGAAAATTCAAGCTCAAGGAATTGCTTACATATTCACGAGCATATGCGATGGTACAAAAATCATTTTTATGCCTTATTTACAATTATATTACTTGTATCAGGGCATATGTAAGCGTGTGTGATGATGGGTGTCTGTTAGTGTGACTTTGTTTGTGTGCAGCATCTGTTGTTGTGTATCTGTGAATGTGCATGTATGTTTGCCAGTCATTTTCTGTATCACTGTACAGATTGAAAACGTTTTATTATATAAAGAATAAGACCAGGTGTTATATACAGAAGTGTCCAGTGGGAAGGAGGGAAGTCTCTTTAAGTAACTCTCAGTTGTCTTGTCGTGGAGTTGCTCTCCGACCATCACCTCTTCTGTAGGGTGAATTTCTCAAATCTGACAGACAAATGAAAAATAAAATTATAATTCTTAAAAAATCGAATCAAATAAAATCGTTCTTGCCAGTTTAAGAAGTACAAGGGAAGTATAAGCATAAGGAAAGTGCCTAGGGTATATTTTGACAAGACTATTTTGGCTGTACATCTATAACACATTTTTACCTGTTATAATGTCCTCGATGGCCCCGTCTGTGACTTGGGGCTTCACCTGTCTCTTCTTTAGCTCTGCAATCAGATCCATCTGAGGCAGTTTGGGCATCATGGGACCCTGATCAGAATAGGAGAAAATTTTAAGGGGAATAACTAAGTTGTGCAGTTCCACTCAATGCTTTATTTAAATAAAATAATACAATATAATTTTATAATTAATATATTTAAAAAAAAAATCAAATAAAAATATTTTCTAAATAAAATTACAAACACATTTTAGAAATGCATTTTTTTTTAACCTTTTGAGGAGTGCTAACTTTCTTCTTTGGGGAAGGGGTTGTCTGTTCTTCTGCTGCACTCTCTTGTTTCTTCTTCTGTTCATTATCTTGTTCTGCTTGCTGTCGTGTGACAATAATACACCACAGTAATTAATCAATTGGTGAAAAGCTTGAAGTATCTTTGTTCTTTGTTTAGAGCTCAGCTCCTTTAACATGCTCATTCAACATTTTATTCATTTACTGTATTTACAGTATTTCAAGCAATTCCCATAAGCATGTGAACAATCAAATAATAACAGCTTTGTATTTACCTTTAAATATGTGTATGTGTTGACACAAACATGCTCAATAGCTGTAGGTAAATGCTGCTGTATCTCTCACCTTATAAGCTTTGATAAACCTGACGAAGAGTGGGAAGAACATGGAAGGCTGTGTCGTTTTCGGATTCTCTCCGTAGTACTCCACTACAGACGTGTATGCCTCCTTGTTGGCCGAAGAGAAAAAGTCAGCAAGATTTAATGTCTAATAGTTTGTGTGCATTGAGCATACACTGTGGTCTCACCTGTGCCGTCTTGCCATCTTTAACAAGTGAGTCTAATATGTCACTGTTGACCTTAACAAACTCTTTCAGCGCCGGGATGTCGTCCTGCACCAGGAACTCCTTCTTGGTCGCTTCCATCCCTCTCTCCAGAGATCTCACATCCTGGAGCACACTGTCCAAAGACACTGAGAGAGCAAAGGAGTGAGAAAGAGAACACACAAACTAAATCTATAATTGATATGCAGTGATTGCACTATGTATCCCATTGTTTGTAGTATGTAGTGGGATGTACATTAATTATGGTATGTCTTACCCAGAGCAGCCTTGTCTACAAAGCGGAGTTCAGTGTGGAAGCCGGCAAGCTCAGGGTATTTCTCCTGCACCATATTTGCAATGAAGTGCATCAAAGTCTGTGTGCGGTCTGTGGACTTCGTGTCCAACAGCTGAAAGACACAAGAGAGTGACACTGAGTGAGAACACTGGGAGTTTTTACTGTGGCCACCAAGGGCAGTTATTGCAAAGGTACAGGGTAGAAATAGAGGTAAGGTTGATGCAAAAGTTGTTTTTATTTTGGGTAAATATCCTCCAACACTAAGAAATGAAACAGATCAATATTTATACATGAATATCAATATTTATACAGTAATTATAATGTGAATATAAATGTATGTATCGATGGAAACTGCTTAAAAATGTCAAATATAAAATTCGATAGATGATTAGTTTCTTATCAGTCTTTGCAATTAATTAGTAAACAAAAATGCCAGATAGGATGCTTTCATAAAGATTTGAGACCTATTTCATTTGAAATGACATACAACCTGCAAATTTTCACTGTTGATATGTATTTGAATACATTTTAATCAGGGTTATTATAGTTTAAAACTTTCATTTCTTGAAATAAAATAAACTTCAACTGAAATAAAATATAATAATATACAAACTTATTTTATTTCAGCTACTTGCCAAGGTAACTTTTCACATTTTCAATTTTGCATTTTCATTTAGTTTAGCTTGATGTACTAACATAACTGAAATAAAAATAAATAAATTAACTAAAATTAATGTGAAAACAGAAAATATCAATAAATAAAAATTATAATTTTAATTTAGATTTTAATAATATACATATATATATATATATATATATATATACA